ATTGAAATATTCCATAAATATGCATGTTTTATGAATAGATTCCTACGGTCGCATAAATGAATAACGTAGCACCTCTCATCATCATAACAGTCTATCTTTTATGCATCCTCGGCCTGGTGTTTGACATTTATAAGGGTAATTAAAGTTTAACGTTTCGTGACGTGAATAATTTCGTTTTAACGTCAATTTCAAGGGAAAGCTTTTAAAAAACCATCTGGCATACCTTTGTGCCGCGATCGCCAGTGTTAAATAGCAAAGTTGTCTCGCAACACAAACACAACTGTCGTTTTTAGGATGAAAGAAGTTTCCCAAGTTTGTTTAGAGTGGCGTTATAGTGGGAATATTGTTATAACGAGCTTCGGGCAAACTTGGGTCGAGAGAAAAATTGAAAAGTTCCAGAGACAATGAGAAGTTGTTAATTATTTAATGCAGAGGTCATCCTCGAATTTTTTTAATTTCGCCACCTTATTTTCATCTTTGAATTCTTTAACGGTTTAACCCTAAACCATATTCTATAATGACTGAACACACGTAAATATATAAAAGATACATGTGTCATAAAAATACGTGTTTCTACTGCAAATTTCAATCATTTTATTCAACCATTGGAAGATTAAGTAAAGAGAAGTATGAAACTGCATCACCGATCGTAAATGTCTACATTAACGACGACATTCGATGAAGCTAATAGTGCATTGCATTGGTATTATCGAGAAATTACATATGCGCGCATGATAATGTGCTTGCTAGAGAATATGCACATCGATTTGCTTTGTACAGTTCGACAAGAGTGCATAACGTTTAGAGGGGATGCTAATGCAAATCATACATCGTTTTACCGTACCGCAGTTAATGCACTAAATTGACGTTTCTTTGTTTCTCTTTCCATAAAACGAACTTGACGCTTATGAGCTTGTTCTATCTGCTCAGACGAGAAATATAACCTTGTTAAAAATTACAGGCACGCGATAATAAGTGAGAAGAGAGAATACACCGAATATTTGAATTTTTAGAACAATATATTGAAAATTTATTCGTACTATCTCTCTGTAATAAGAAATAAGTATTTGATTAATAATTAAATACAAATTCACTTGTTTTTTTCTAAGGAATGACCATTTTGTGTCGTACTCTTATAATATTTACTCTTATAATATTTACTTTATTAATTATACACCTAAGAAATTACCATTTTGTGTCGTACTCTTATAATATTTACTCTTATAATATTTACTTTAT